AAGCCCTTGAAATTGATCCTGGCATATTTTCACTTACGGCATGGCATCGGACTAAGCATATTTATTACACATAATTGTGTTTGTCTAAGCTGGTGAAGAATAAGTTTGTGGACAAAGTTCATAGATCTTTGCCACATGTTTGAATGTGTGAATTGATTATATGCTTCCACAGGTTATCATTAGCTTATTGTAATTATAGTTTCTGGTTATGTATGCTTGGGTTATATGTGATATCTCTCTTCTAGCAGGACAAACTTGGTTCATCTAGCTATGCAAGGGCAAATGGGAGGGTATATGTGAGCAAAGCACAAGATGTGGTATCTAGTGTCTTGGCAAAAGGTTCAGCTATAGGACAAGATGCAATGACTAAAGCCAGGGCATTTGATGAGAAGCATCGGTTGACAGCAACTGCATCTGCTAAAGTCAGTTACTTTGACCAAAGAGTTGGTTTGTCTGAGAAATTGACAGTCGGAATTTCTGTAGTGAACCAGAAAGTCAAATCGGTTGATGAAAGGCTTCATGTTTCTGATAAAACAATGGCTGCACTTATTGCAGCTGAGCGTAAACTAAATGATACAGGATCAGCAGTCAGATCAAGCAGGTATGCAGTTTAAACTAAACGATACTTGGCATTTTTTTTCCTTTGACGATCATTCCTCGAGATCCAAACATACCCAAATTTTGGGTGACTGGATTCTTCTAGGAAGTTCTCTCACACACACTAATGTTCACACACATTGACAGCTGCTAGCATGATATGATTTCCATTTTGATGGATTCGATTGAATGTGTTTTCACTTCAAGCTGACATGTTCTTGTGAACTGCATCAATGGAACTGACCAGGTATGTAACTGCCGGAGCTGCTTGGCTGAATGGTGCTTTTAGTAGGGTGGCAAAGGCAGGGCAGACTGCTAGTACAAAAACAAGAGAAAAGTGGAACTCGGCATTCTCAAATATGACAGCAAAGGTTTTACTTTCTTCTACCCTCTCCCCCCCCCTCCCCAAAGCCCCACCAGGATCAGTTAGTTAATGCTATTTACCAATATAAAAATGTGTCATTGCAAAACAAATTAAGGTCCCATTTGGTTCATCTAAGAATAGGTATCAATTATCACACATGGGTTTGGGAATTCCTTAGTCATATTTCATGTTTGGTAATTTTTGGTTACAAAAAATGAACTCCCAAAGTCATTCACTAAACTCATCTAAACCTCATCCCCTGCCCCCCTCTAGCTGGTACTTCTTCGGTCATTACGCAACAAAGCAGAAGGGACGCCATAAGACTATATCGGAAATGTTAAGACTATGTCAGAAGACTTAACTCATACCGTTTCTAACTCTTCCTAGTTCTAATCATGTACCTTAGTTTTAACCAGATGGGTTAAAATTAAGTAGATACATGAAAAAAGAAACTTAAACCATGTTTTACCGGCATTAAATAGATATCATATTATAGGTGAAATCATATAAATTTTTAGTTTTTACTATGAGTAATATAAGTTTTTGTTTGTTCTTTTTTAAAATAATGGCACGGATATAGGATTCACCTATGGTTGTATAGAGTCGGATTACATCAACAGTGGCAGCTGAGAAGTGTGGCAAGTGCTTGTTATCTGGTGCTTGTTTTACTGTTGCGGACGTCGGGAACCATTTTGGTCATATTCAATTTATTTTGCAGTGTGTATTATTCTTCACTCATTAGTGTTTGAGAAGGCCAATTTATCAAATTAGGTTGTGCAGTTTTACAGTGTAATCCATCTTTGTACCATACTCTTCCCTCATCAATTAATGAATGTTCCACTCACTATAACATTTGATGTGAAAATTGAGATATTCTATTATGAATGAAGAAATTCAGACGTTGTGGACAATCTTCTCCTTTTATTTTCATAATAAAGTTAAACTACTTCAATATTATTCCTTCTATTGTAATTGAAGTTGTATGTTTATTATTCACAAGGTCAAACTTTGATTGTTTTTCATACTTATTTTCATTACTCATTTGATAAAAATAATATAGTTATGTCACTTTTAATTTTGTAAAAATTTTTATGTAGTTTTTACATACTTTAATTGCTTTTCATACAAAGTCAAACTTTAATTGCTTTCCATACTTAATTTTGTAGAATGTTACTCTTCTTGGTGTACAAGACTTATGTGACATAAGTCCTGGGTGTGAAGACTTGTAGAGAGCATATCTATGAGTGATGTGAAGTCTTGGAGTTTTGTTTTTCCAAGTAATTATATTGAGACTTTTGTGAGTTAAGTTCTTAAGTTGTAAACGGTTTGTCAAGCACTGAGTTAAGCTTGATAGGTAGTGGAAATCTTTGGAGAGTTTCTCAGGGACTTACTAGCCAAGAGGTGAATGATGAATCAGTATATATTGGCGTGTTCTTTGATTTCTCTAATTTATTTCTGTTGAACACTCATTTATTTTTTTAAATATACACTCACTGTAAAAATCAGTAAATATTCTCAAGAACTCTATTTAACCCTTCTAGAGTTGCACATGTTGTCTAACATGTTTTTCTAGGTGATTCCTCAATGTGGTTTCCACATGTTGGGATGCTTTCCAAATTGGAATAAAACCTTGTGAGTCGAAAACTAGTTACTCCAAGGTGGCAAGGTATATATGTTGAATATTCCATATCTGGAGGCTTGTGGGTACACTCGTTTGCTAAATGCTCTTAAATGTACCAGATGTTGAATGTTGTATCAGTCATGGAAAATGGCTAACTTGTGAAATATTTTTGAACCTTTTTATGCCGCGTTGAGATATGGAAAGGTTACTTTGAATGGTTCAAGATGTCTTATTTCGAATGTTTGTGATCACAACATAATTACTAGTGAGGAAGCTTTGGCAAAAATGTTTGGTGTGACTACTAAAGGTGAATGTTTGGATGAGACAAATTCTCTTTGGGAGAATGTTATGATTGATGAATTTGAAGTCATGCTTTACTGATTTTGACTTGAAATTACTAAATTTTCTATTAAGTTTCGTTATGCTCGGTATCCAAACACTTACCAAGTTGTTGTGGTGTTCCTTCTATTCTTCTTTTGTCCCGGCTTTTGGCACCTTCTCACTTCCCCCATCGTCGCGACGTTTTGACTTCAGATCTCTTGAGATCTATTGCGGTGTTCCAGACAAGCAGCAATCGTGCTCCTGAAGATGACACTGGCATTCCGACGAGCAACACCAGCAACTTTATCGAGCATCATCAGACAAACTTCATCATTGTTAAGGGCAAATTGCATAGTGGACCTTACCTAAGGTCCACCATGAATCTATGAACAAAATAAGTAATTTCTTACAACTTAAATTAAAAATTTTGTGAGAAGGTATAAAAAAATGATATGCACAAGGTGCATCATAGAAACAATCTCACTGCCCGCAAGTTTAATGGTTAGGCAATGCTAGAGGTACACCAACATGAGATATTTCATTTGTACACAAAACTAACACAGACATAAACAGACACATAATGTCTATGCAAGCATAGCCATCATGTGTCTGTGTTAATTTATTGTACAAATGGAGTACCCATGTTGGTCTATTCCTAAATTAATTCTTAATGGTTAGGTTTTTTCCCAATTCTTTTGTAATAGGCGGTGGGTGGTAGGGCACACCATTATATGAGCAATGATTGTGTAGACAAAAAAAGTCCAAAACATATGAGAACATGGTCAGGTAATTGAATATGGGAATAGTATGATAGATCTGTCAAACCAATCTCCAATCTAAACAAAAAGATGATGCATGATCATGCCCTCATGGCGAAAAAGATAAGAAAAATGCTAGGGTACACCAAAGGTGTACCCCATTTGTCCCCCACCCCCTCCATTACCATAAAAATGGGCAAAAATTTTAAAAAAAAATTAAATAAATAAAAAGTAGATAAAAATGAATGGTGGAGAAGGGGGTGGGGGACAAATGGGGTACACATTTGGTGTACCCCTAGCATGGCTCAAAAGATAATCATCTCTGTCAAAAGTCGGCAATTCCTTCTCCACAAGCACCATCTCCCCCTCACCCATATATGCCTTTTCCTTTCTTTACCCTTTTTTTTATTTATTTCATGCCCGTCTAAATAAAATTCTTTATTCGAACAAAATTCAATATCTCACTTAGGCTATCTGTATAAGTATAACAAACACGTTTATCTTTTAATGCAAACCGTATAAAGGACTGCATTTCGAAAATTGATAAATACTTGAAAGATTATTTATGTATTTTTGAAACTTGAAGGACTATAGGTAGAGGACTCTGAATACTTGAAAGACTATTTATGCACTTTTGAAACTTGAAGAATTATATGTGGAGGACTATGAATACTTGAAGAATTATTTATGGACTTTTGAAACTTGAAAAACCAATCATGCACAGCTCATAACGTTGAAAGACCAATCATAGATTTTAGACATAAGATTATGCTCGCGGGAAGACATGATTATGCCAGATAAAAAGAAGCAAACAAGACAAGGTGGCCCGAGACCTCTTGATCGACGTGTTAGCTTCGTTTAAAAATATTTCCCACACTTAAGCGAGGAGGCATGAGGTATAAAAAAAATTTACTTCAACATTCATATACTCCTTCATCCCTAAATAGATTACAATTTTTTTCTCTACTCTCGATAACTTTTTTTTATTTATGCAATTTCATTAAACACTTGATAAAATAAAATATTCTTGTCACCTCTTGTTTTGTAAACTTTTGACGTAGTTTTATAATATATAATTTTTATATCTTATTGATCTACCAATTTGTAAATAAAATGATTTTAAAAAGTAAGAAATTTTTCTTTGTAATCCGCAATTTATAATCTATTTAGGGATGAAAGAGTATTACATAAATGAGTTGGAAATAAGCATATGAGGTTACATGCCCTCCCGTCTAAGTAATACGGAGAATACCAACTTTTGTTATTGGATGATCCACCCAACACTAGCCTTTTCTTTTTAGATAATAAGGCTGTGAGGTTACATGCTGTGTAAGTAATAGGAATATACCACCTTTTGTTATATAAGCCGCCACCCAACACTTATCTTTCAAACACTTCTTCTCCCACCCTCACAAACTAACAGCAAGTAATGTGAACAGATCAGAGAGAAGAGGAGATATGGCCACTGTAAGAAAGCTGATAGTAGAGGTGATAGAGGCCCGGAATCTGCTGCCCATTGATGGCCAGGGTACTTGCAGCCCTTACGTCGTCATCGACTACTACGGCCAGAGGAAGAAGACCCAGACCGTCGAACGCGACTTGAACCCCTGGTGGAATGCGGCGTTGAAGTTCGACGCCGAGGCCACTTCCGACGTGTTCGGGGACACGCTTGAGGTCGTCGTCTACCACGACAAGACCGTCGGCCCCACCAGAAGGAATAACATTCTCGGCCTGCTGAAGCTGGACTCGACCCAGTTTGTGAAGAAAGGGGAAGAGGCTCTCATTCATTATCCCCTCGGGAAGAAGAATCTGTTCCACTGGGTCCGCGGTGATATCGGGTTGAAGATCTACTTCGTCGACGAGGTGGTTCCTCCTCCGGCACCGGCACCGGCTCCGCCGCCTGCGGAGGAGGCAAAGGCCGCTGAACCTGCGGAGTCTGCCGCAGCCGAAGAGAAACCGAAAGATGAAGGTACTGAATCTGCGGCTGGGTCGCCGGAGGAGGTTCAAGACCCGCCGGAGGAAAATGAAAACCCCCAATCGGGAGATCAGATTTCAGAACCGCCGATTTCGAAACCGGATGACGACGGACCTGTTCAGGCGAGGGCGTCTATAGCGACAGTATCTGAACCAGAGGTTAAAGTCAGCAACTTCGCCGAACCTAAACCGCTCAGCCGGACACCGTCGGTGAGCAACTTCGCCGGCCCTCCACCGCTGAGTCGGACTCCGTCCGTGAGCAGCTTCGTTTCCGATGCATCCGACAGATCCACGATGGAGAGATCCTCGTTCGATCTCGTCGAGAAAATGCATTACATCTTCATCCGGGTCGTGAAAGCCCGATCTCTGGCAACTTCCGGCCTCCCGGTGGTCAAGATCGCCGTCTCCGGCAACCACATCGTCTCTAGACCCGCTCGGAAAACCGCACAGTTCGAGTGGGACCAGACATTTGCTTTCTGCAAAGACGCGCAAGATACCTCCTCGATGCTCGAGGTCTCCGTGTGGGACCCCGCGGACGCCACGTCATCGAACCCCGCGTCTGACGTGGCCGGTCACAACTTCCTCGGCGGGATATGCTTCGACGTGAGTGAGATCCTCCTCCGAGACCCGCCGGACAGCCCGTTGGCGCCGCAGTGGTACAGGCTCGAAGGCGGCGGGGCCCACGGAGGGGACTTGATGCTTGCCACGTGGGTCGGGACCCAGGCGGACGAGTCGTTTCCCGACGCGTGGAAGACGGATACCGCCGGTAACCCCACTTCCCGATCCAAGGTGTACCAATCGCCTAAACTGTGGTACCTCAGATCCACCGTGATTGAAGCCCAAGACGTGTTCCCGTTAATCACGCCGTCAAAGCAGTCCTCCTCCGTCCAAATCAAAGCACAGCTCGGATTCCAAGTCCAGAAGACCAAACCAGCCGTCTCCTCCACCGGATCGCCGTCGTGGAACGAGGATCTGGTCTTCGTCGCGGCCGAGCCGTTCACCGAGAATTTCCTCCAATTTGTCCTACTACAGCACCAGCCGCCCAAAGATCAGGCCGTTCTCGGCGTCGCCAGCATACCGCTCTCCTCCATCGAGCGCCGCGTCGACGACCGCCAGGTGGTTTCCAGATGGTTCACTCTCGAGGTCGAGAAGGGCGAGAAGAGAACGTACGGAGGAAGGATTCACCTGAAGCTCTGCTTTGACGGCGGGTACCACGTCGTCGAAGAACCGGCCCATGTCTGCAGCGACTATCGGCCGACGGCGAGACAGCTCTGGAAACCGCCGGTCGGCACCGTTGAGCTGGGAATCATCGGGTGTAAGAACCTTTTGCCGATGAAAACAATGGGAGGGAAAGGATCTACGGATGCGTACGCGGTTGCGAAATACGGCAACAAGTGGGTCCGGACTAGAACGGTTTCCGATAATCTCTCCCCGAGATGGAATGAGCAGTACACGTGGAGGGTCTATGATCCGTCCACTGTGTTGACCATTGGAGTGTTTGATAGCTGGGAGGTCTTTGACCCATCGGACGGTTCGGTTAGGGACTTCAAACGAACCGATGCCCGAATGGGTAAGGTGAGGGTGCGGATATCCACCCTCGCCACCGGAAAAGTGTACAAGAACACATTCCCATTGCTACTGCTGTCCCCCGCGGGGTTGAGGAAAATGGGAGAAATTGAATTGGCCGTAAGGTTTATTCGATCTGCGCAAACGCTTGAATTGTTACACGTCTACGCGCAGCCGATGCTTCCTTTGATGCACCACCTCAAGCCGCTAGGGGTGGCTCAGCAAGAGGTGTTGCGGACCGCAGCCGTGAGGCTGGTGACGGCGCACTTGTCGCGTTCGGAGCCGCCCCTGAGGCGGGAGGTGGTGTCGCACATGCTAGACGCCGACTCCAACGTGTTCAGCATGCGCAAGGTGCGCGCCAACTGGTTGAGAATCATCAACGTGGTCTCGAGCGTGATAGACGCGGTGAGGTGGCTGGAGGACACCCGCGCCTGGAGGAACCCGACGGCCACCGTGCTTGTACACGCGCTTCTGGTGCTGCTCGTTTGGTTCCCCGATCTCATCATCCCCACCTCTGCGTTCTACGTGTTCACCATTGGCGCGTGGAACTACAGGTTTCGGCCCGGGCGCGACCATCTGAACCACTTCGAAACGAAACTCTCGTTGGCGGAGTCGATTGATCGGGACGAGCTAGACGAGGAGTTCGACGGCGTGCCGTGCTCCAGGCCTAACGAGTTGGTCCGCGCCCGATACGACAAGATGCGGGTGCTGGGGGCACGGGTGCAGGCGCTGTTGGGGGATGTGGCGACGCAAGGGGAGCGGGTGCAAGCGCTGGTGGCGTGGCGGGACCCGCGAGCGACGGGGATCTTTATCGGTCTGTGCCTGGTTGTGGCGCTCGTCCTGTATGTGGTGCCGTCGAAGATGATAGCCTTGGCATTTGGGTTTTATTACCTGAGGCATCCTCTCTTCAGGGACAGAACGCCTTCGCCTGCTTTGAATTTCTTCAGGAGGTTGCCTTCCCTTGCGGATCGAATGTTGTAATTCTTTTTCTTTTTTTATATTAGTGCGAGTATTTCTCTTTTTATGGGAAGCATTGTTGTTTTCAACTAAACGAGACACTCTTATCTAATTAAGGTCTAATTCCATATCACGTTTGGTTTTCATTTTCGTACCCCATCCCCATTGTTGTCTCTCACTACATCGAAAGCCAAATGACCAATGCATCAACTTGGGAGTTGTTACCTCACCACCATTGGATAAATACCCTCTTATTTGATCCCATCTTTAGTGGTTCTTGAATTCATTTTACATGCTCTCTATTTTAGAAGAAATATGAACAAGAATATCAAGCTTTGATTTTTTGTAGTCAATCAAGCTTGACCATTGATTTATAATTAAATAAAAATTATATGATATATTAATTAGATATTAAAAAATTAAAGATATATTACAAGATAAGATGAATAAAACTATTCTCTATCAATATATAAACAAAATTTATTTAATTAATTTTCATAGTTTATCAATTATATTTCAACCTCAAAAGGTCAAAATTAAATAAATGCTCGAGCACAAAGGTAATATTTTAGTTGTCGCGAGTAAAAAGTGACTCCAATGTTTCTAACCTTAAATGTAACAATTCTAATGAGCTTAAGCTAAAAATCTTTTTATCATTATACTTAGGTCTGGACACGATGTCGGTTCTGAATAGCGATCAAAATCGGCGATTCAAGCACTGTAACTATCGGCGGCACGAAAGAAGGTGGAGGAGAACCGATACCGGGAATCGGTCCCAAGAACCGAGTTGGGCGATACCGATTTCAAGGGTAGGTTAGGCCGTTAGGTATCGAAGCCAGCTCCGGTTCTAATCCGATCCGGATTGTTGGATTTATTTTTATATTTTTTGTTGAAATTGAAAGGAGGGAGCATTCGGGGAGGGGAGGGGGGAGGTTATCAGCAGCCCAAACAACCATATTGTTGTTTGGGGCCGGGGGGATCTATAAATACGTCACATCTCTTTATTAAAATTCACACAACTTTCAGTTCTCAATCTCTCATATATTTTACTCTCCTAATTTTTCAATTACCAGTTCTCAATTTCTCATACACGTATTTATTTTTATATCTTTAATTCTTTATATTTTTTTTGAATGCTTTAATTCTTTATATATTTAAGTTATTATTTATACATACATACATACATACATAGATATATATATGTATGTATGTATGTATGTATGTATGTATGTATGTATGTGTGTGTGTGTGTGTGTATCTATGTATGTATGTATGTATGTATGTATGTATGTATGTATGTATGTATGTATAGGAGGCGGTTCAGGTGAGAATGCACCTTGGTGAAAGAAATACGAATAAAATCTAGCCTTTGGATCTGATGCATCGTGCGGCTCAGATTACATCATGTACTCAGATTTTGCGATAGTGCATTTTTAAAGGATTTTGGTGCATTTCGACATGATGCATTTTCAAATCATTTTGGTGCACCTAATTTTGATGCAATCCTGACCCTTAGATCTCACAATCTAAAACACCAGATTCATTCTTATTTCTTTCATAAGATCGCATTCTCACCTGAACCAAAATCTATGTGTGTGTGTGTGTGTGTGTGTGTATATATATATGTGTGTGTGTGTGTGTGTGTATATATGTATATGTATATGTATATGTATATGTATATGTATATGTATATGTATATGTATATGTATATGTGTGTATCTTTCTTATCTTATAAATGTGAACCTGAGTTAGGTACCCCTTATATTTGTGTACCTTTTCCATCCATAAATTTTGTACCTTGTGATTTGGGTGTGCATTGCCGTTTACTCCCAATCTTCCACAATAATTGATGCTGGTTTATTGCTTTTAAGAGTATTACGCCACTGTGTTCATTACACATATCTAATTCTTTTTCAGAAAAAGTAACGCCACCACTATTTCATCACTATCTTACAATTTCAGAGAATTCCCCTCTTTCTTACATATATCATTAATTTTTCTTCCGTTGAATATCTTACCCCTGCGCATATAACAATCTGCGATAGATTAGTGGTTATTATACCGATTGCAGATTTTAAGGTATATTGGTTGCAATTGTCTAGCCGTTTCAGGTTTAGGAAGCAAATATGAAAGGAATTTTAGTACTCCGTATTTAATTACAAGTTATTATTCATCTGTTTTTTTCCTATCCCAATTCTTTATTACCCCTGCTACCTATTGCAAGAAAACGATATTGTCCTTTGTAATTATTACCCCTGCTACCTATTGCAGATTTTACGGTGTATTGGACCTCTTGCAAGAAAACTATCACAGATGTTATGTCTAAGTGGGGCTGTCATTAGCAAAATATTGTCCTTTGTCGTATGAAGTCCAAACAGGTGATCACCACATATAACATATGTCACAAACCCTTCATTCCACCCTTTTCATCAACCCTTTTGACTTCACAAAGTGTAATATTTGTGTCTCAAAATGGCAACTGACTTGTTATGTATAATAACTGGGACTGTCATTGGCAAATCATTGTCCTTTGTTAGATGAAGTCCAAACTCCAAACAGCTGATAACCGCATATGTCATATCGCAAAAACCCTTCATTCCACCCTTAAATTTCCTCAACCTTTTTGGGTTTGCAGGCTCTACTTTTTGTGTCTGAAAATGGAAACATACATTTTCCAAAAAAAATTACCTTTATACTCCTAAAATTGTACATTTATCTAATACAACTACAAACAAAAAAAATAAAGATTATAGTAATTATTATCTATTTATCTTCACTTTGTGGTATCTTTACATATTTTCCACTTCGGTTTAAGAAATTGGGTATCATTTTATTAATATTTCTATTAATGCTCATAACTTACAACTTTTTGTTAAAAGTTGGTTATTAGGATTTGTGGACCTCTTACCAAAAGACTATTAGAGTTGTTATGTATAACTGGGGTTGTATAAATGTAGAACACGGTTAGGTACCCCTTAATATTATGATCTTTTTCCATCCACAAAACATGTACTCTTAGCTTCTAGAGTTGTATCATACAATATACACCCCACTATGCCCTTACCTCCGTTAAAATTACAATTTCCCGTTTTAGTTCCGTTCAAACACTACCCTCCTCCCCAATAATCCGGTAACAGAGTAAATGCTTCCCCACTACCCACTAATTTCTTATGCAATTTTGGATTAAATGCATGGACTACATAAATGCTTGGAGTCATAAGTTGCGATGCAATTTTGGACCGGCTGCGGTGCAATCTGAGTGAGGCAATGCGATGGAATTTGGTTGATGGACCATGCTAGGGTGCCACCACATAGGTGCTACCATGGGTGCACCAATGCTTCGCACAGACAAACACAGACGATAATTGTCTATGCGACACAGATAATTATCGTCTGTGTTTGTCTATGCGAAGCATGGGTGCACCCATGTGGTGGCACCCTAGCATTTTCCTTGGTTGATTTCTAGATTCCCCAAAATTAACCAACTCACTGATTTCCATTTATTTTAATATAAATGCTAATATATGAGCTTCGATGTTTTGCGAGATTTCAGGCTCGTGAGTGATACATCTCTGTTTTCCTTTTCAATTTGGCAATGCAATAACTTGTAATATACTCCCAATTATTGATAATTTGAATATACGTTACATTTTTAAAAACCGATTTTGGGAGATGGGATGAGTGCTATCTGCAGATTAGTAAACTCTCGCGTCCCCTCTGTACTATCCACAGCCCACAGCGCCAACTCAGTCATCGGGTCATTCGCCCGAACGTCACAATGAAACCACTGGACCGTCGCGATAGAACAAAGGAAACGCAGCCTAGCATAAACATCATGAAGGTACCACGGGGTACCCTCTCTAAAGAAACAAGCTAACTCTGAATGGTGTGACTCCACGTGGATACGCAAGAAGGACTGGGATATACACCACTGAATACACCGAAGAAGCACGCCCATCCCTCCACGTTCCACTGGGTCCCACCTGAATGCAATAGAAGAGAGAGCATAAAGAAACTTACCTGTCGAATCACGCACGATCGCTGCATATGCCCCACGGAGCGGGGCCCTCGCCACATTCACCTTGATGGTGCCACCCGGTGGTGGGACCCACCGAATCGGCACCACCCTCCTGCGTCCAGAGCCTCGTCGAACGTGCTCCATAATCACCGACCATTTGGGAGGCAAAAGACCTCCGCTAGGCTAGCGACGATAGATGCACTCCAACACCGTCGTAGCCACCTGAAAGATAATGCATGCGAAGTTTGGGCGAGCATCCCCATACTTGCACGCAGCGTAGTGCGTCCAAAGCTCCCAAAGAATGATCGTCGGCAGGCGGTGGAACAGGAACGAGAGCATCCTGCTCTTCTGCCGCTGCGCCCACCATATACTCAAGACGGTCCTCAAACTGTGATGTGTGCTCTGAATACGGGCAGACTCTGTGAAATAAGTCCAAACACGGCGCGCCATGCTCCCATGATAGAAAATATGTGCAATGGTCTCCCGTCCTGACGAGCAACAGAAGCATTGAGAGGGCAGAACAAAGCTGAATCTCGCCAGGACATCATCCGTGGGAAGGCGCCTCGTCAACACGCGCCACGCTAGAAAGGACATCTTATAAGGTAAGTGCGTCTGCCAGCACCTCTTAAGCACAGTGTCCTCCACATCATCGTCCCTCCTCGGTCTAAGAAGCTCCTTAGCAGAAGCAAGGGTCAACTTCCCGTCCGTAGACGGGGTCCAGACTGAAATATCAGCGTGATCAGAAACAAGAGATGGCGGCTCAAGGCGCAACTGCCGTAGGAGGGTAGGGGGCAAAGCATCATGGTCAATCATAAAATCAAAGCGATACATATCGCCCACTCCATCAGTCCAGTATCCACTACAGCCATCCACCTGGCGATGCAAGGCACCCAGACCAGACCATGTATCCCACCAGAAATTAGACGTGCCAGAGAGTACACGCCATCGAATCATAGACTCAACCACGGCCCGAACATCTAGCATGCACTTCCATGTGTGAGAATCATCATCAATACGCTGCTTTGACGCAGGATGGACGCGGCTACAATACTTAGCTCTCATGAATGATGTCCAAATAGTATCATGTGTCCTAAAATTCCACCAAAGCTTGGCCGAGCAAGACTTGGCCAAAGTCATAAAATCAAGGAAGCCGACCCCACCCTCTCGCATCGGCCGAGCCAGAGTCTTCCAGGATCCCCAATGATATCGTCGAGTCCCTCCCAAGCCAGGCCAAAAAAATCGTGCCATAATAGACTCCATCTCTCGAATCACTATCTTGGGAGGAAAGTGTGCTGCGAGCAAGTGTGTCGGGATCGCCTGAAGAACACTCTTAATCATAATAGCCTTCCCCCGAGAAAGATAGCACCCCATCCACGCACAACACTTGTCCCGCATCTTCTTCAGAATAGGCTCAAAATAATGAATGCACTTCCGACCATGATAAATAGGACAGCCAAGATAGGTAAATGAAAGCACATCCAAGGAACACCCGAGAGTATCTCGAACACGCTCCAGCACGCGTGCCAATGCCTTAGGGTGCATATAGAAGGCACTCTTAAGGAAGCTGACAGCCTATCCAAAAATCTGCTCATAGGAATGTAATACTGCTCAAACTCTCTCCAAAGTGTCCTCCCTCGCCGAAGTGAAGATGACAATGTCGTCGGCGTAGGCAAGATGATGGGTATGCGGTGCATCACGGGGCTGTGTAAACCGAGCAACTGTGGGATCTATATACAGCTGAGCCAAAGAACGAGAAAGAAAAGGTTAGTGACTGTGCAAAAGAGGAAATAAAATGAATGGACAGTGCAATGTCAAAGTTCCAAAAGAGCCAGATTTGGTCATCCACACCACACCTAGCTCCCGTGAAACCCAACAGTGTCCTATAATAGTCAATCTGCGAGGGTGCCTTCATAGGCTCCAAAATACCTAACAACACTGGGGTGTGCTGTTTAAGTAAAATTCGAAGCTTAGAAAGGACATCCTATGAGGTGATGCTCCTCACGTTCCAAACAAGGAACCGCATCATCATTGAGAACGCGAAGAAGTGGAGCGAGTGACTTTGCGTGGAGCAGGAGGGACCCCCGTCTTGTGCTCTATTGCCTTACGAGCGTTTTTAGCCGACTTACCCCTAGTAGTCGGAGCCTCCCTTGCAGGGGAGAGACCACTCGCTGCAAGATCCCGGGCAATGTCAGTGGGATACTCAAAATGATCACCTGTGGACCCGTCACTAGTCTGCGAACTACACTCATCATCCTCCCTCCTTACCGAATTGGAAGGGATGGAAGATGCAGCAGTATTAAAGCCGCAGACCTCATGACTGTCCCAAGGCATCTCCCTCAAAGCATCAAAAGTATTAAACATAGTAAGGGCCAGCTCTGGAGGTTGAGGATCGGGGACATGAACAATAGGAGAAGAAGAAGAAGTAGAGAGAGGGAGAGAAGTGACAACGGAGCCTTGCTCAACTCCGGCAGGAGGAACAGATGGCTCAACAGTCAGAGACGCCGACCGTTCAACCATAACAGGAGTGGGAGTAGTGGCGTTAACAGTAGAAATAATTAAACTAGAGTCAAGAATAACAACATTCGGGGAGGGATGCAAAGAAGTGGGCACAAAGGCCTGCAAGCTGGATGAGGGTCCCTCCCCCTTACCTACATCATCAGTATCCACGACCTCAATAGGTCTGGACCCTTTCGCTGTCTTCTCTCTCCAAACATACTGTGACTCCTCCCGCTGGGAACCACCTGTGCTTGTACCTGCATCAACAATGGCAATACCTTTCCCCTCCCTTTGACGTCTGACCCTACTCCTACTGTAACACCCGATTCACCCGCGACCCAACGGACCGGTAGGGTTACATGGATAGTCCGAGAACCATCCGTTACGAAAACATTAATGATTATTTAATAAGAAAACGGTTGGGTTTTAATTAGAGGAATAAATGCCAGGGAGTTACTCCAAAACGTGTGCAATGAAAGTGCAGAGTACTTGCGGAAGTAATTAAATAAGTTCAGTCCAAACTAAATAACGACAAGGGTGGGTTCATGCCCAATTGATTAATGAAGTTATTGAAAGTAATTAAGAGTTCGTCCGTGCGCCGCCCATCTCCCCATCGTCACCGCTCTCCAGGGTTGGCACCTGCTCCGTCATGTCTACCTGAGTGTAGCAAAAACAACTACACGCTCAGCAAAAGCTGAGGAGTGAATTTAACAAAAGAACATGAAGTGATAACCCATATGGCTATACCCATATCAATACCTGTACTTAACGTACGGGACACCACACGTTACTAACTGTTTAGTTTTCACCTGTTAAAGCTGTTTCGAATAACAAGGAACATAATGATGATGATATGACTTGGTGCATGACTTAAACTATCAGGGACACCCCTGGCTTAGTCTCACTCGACAGGATCACCCCTGCACTCCGGTCATCGTCCCCGAACGGTAACGAGCCGGGCACGATGAAAACATCGCGAGTGAACTAGCAAAACCGGGAGTAGCCGTAACCTGACTACTATGTACGTACACAAGCCCAACATGATGAAAACCTGCTGGTCCCCAAAGGTTCCTGGACGGGCCCACTGTAGTAGGCGCTTGAAGTCCTCCCTAGTCGCCATACGTATACTACCTTTGGATCTTGTAGGCAGATCTTGCTTGTACTACCTTACTTACGTAACTAATTTCTTTTCTCAATTTAAGTTAAGAATGTATACACGAACTAATACTAAACAAGTTGTACTACCGGGACCGTTCAGAACTGGCTGATAATCGATTATCTGCTGTTGATAATCGATTATCATGCTGTGCAACTTCTGTCCCCAAAGTCCTGCAGACTGTGATAATCGATTGTCACCCTATGACAATCGATTGTCAAGTTGGTTTATCAGAAAAATCCTAAGTTCAGAGAGACCGGATAATCGACTATTGCTCTGTGATAATCGATTGTCAAGTGAACCAGCTCTAACTCAAGAACCGCAGGGTCTGATAATCGATTACCACTTATGTGATAATCGATTGTCACACTATGCTGGATCAACTGAGGAGTTCAGCGTGACCTGATAGTCGATTATTCCGTTCTGTAAATCGATTATCAAGGCACGCGGATTCCCATTTTGACTGTTTGGTTATCATCAATACGTTGGGAGTTTTCTTTGAAACGAACGTTTATGATTACATGTTAAGTATTCCATGAATATACGGAGTTTCAAAATGCTTGTATTAATGAGTTCGTAACTTGATAACACAGACTCTCGTATGTTTGATGGTTAACCTACGAACATGCATAGATTCTACGTAGGTTGCGTACGATATTCCTATGAATATAACGACATAGTTTATAACTAAATGTTCTAGAATTAGAGAGACAACTACTCACCTCTAAATGAAGGGGTTGATGGAACGAGATGAACGACGACAACGCTTCGCACGAATGGCCTAGCTCCTCCCTCCTTTCTTCTCCCTCAACTATGCACCCACCGGAGCTTCGTCGGAACCCTCCCTGGCTGCTGTTGCCTTGGCCGAAAGTAAGAGAGAGTGAGAGAGAGTGGAGATTGTGAATACTTGGGGGTTACAAAATGGGGTGTGAAGGGAGAGGAAATGATGGGGTTTTAATGGTGGATTAAGGAGACTATTAATTGGAAATGATGGGGGTGTTGAAGGAGCCGAACCAAGGGTCTAGGGAGGTTACAAAACTTATTTACTCCGTATTGTAAAAATCTGACCTGAACGGTACGCGCTTTT